AGCAGTAAAAGGAAAAACTTAAAAATATGTATCCGCCTATTTACATTCATTGGATTCTGTCATTTTGGATGGTTAACATTGTAAATATTTTAAAATAAAACAAGAAAGCAAAATGTATCTGTCAACATTCGTTTCTAAAGTCAGACTTTACATTTTATTTTCACACTTCAGAGTGCCTTCATAACGCTACTAAAAGATGTTTTGCTACTACTTTTTTAATTGTATGACACTGTATGCCTACAACAGCACACAGTGCCACTATAGCAGCTTTTGCAATTAGCATTGTCTTGAAAATATGCACATACCAAATTCACGACAGGAATACAATGATATAAGGTAATTCTGGATTTAAACAAAGAACATCATGTCAAAAAAGCTTCCGCAGACTAAGCTATATAAATATCAATTTCTAAAGATCACAAAAGAAAATTTATGTGGAGGTCCAGCGCCACCAGGCCACTTTCATACGGTCCCAAACAGCTTCTAAGGAATCAAAGGCTGGACGCACGTCAAGGATAGTGTGCTTGGGCACCTGGCCTCCATCATAGTAGTCTATCACATATCTGACCTCTTTTCCACACCGGTCAATAATCCAGTCGTGCCTGTCAAATGGTAGCTCATGCCTACAACACAGAACACCAAAAGCAACTTATAACTGAATTGCCATTCCACTTATATTTTCCTGAAGATGATCACAGAAGTTTTATGCATAGAAAAATTAAGCAAAAACATCAAATACATTTTATTAAGAGATGCGATGACTTACCCCATCCAGTGGCGAAATCTGGCTCTGGGTGAAAAGCCTTTTGCTTTTCCACCAAACCGTAAAAGAGAAGGTCCGCATGGGCATTCTCTGTGGTGGAGGACAACAGCAGAACATCAGGACTCATCTACTTTATGACATGTGAGGATGCACAGTTGCTTTTAAAGCAATAGTTGCTTTTAAATGCAATATTTGCTGAAAATGTGCTGCTCACCCTCAGGGCATTCAAGATGTGGATGAGTTTATTTCTTAAGCAGAACAGATTTGGAGAAATTACATCACTTGTTCACCAATGGATCCTCTGCAGTGAATGGGTGCCGTCAGAATGATAGTTCAAACAGCTGATAAAAAAAAAAAAAAAATCACAATAATCCACAAGTAATCCACATGACTCCAGTCCATCAATTAACATACTATGAAATGAAAAGCTGGGTGTTTGTAAGAAACAAAACCATCATTAAGGAGTTTTAACTTTAAACTTTTGCTTTAGGCCAATATACCACTCCATAATCCATAATAACACGTCCTCCAGTGGAAAAAGTCCATTCCCTTTTGTTTTCTTGCATCAAAATCTACCAACATATTAAATTCACAAACAGTACTGGATCTGTGCATATTTTTCTCCTGATTCAGATGAGATCACTTTTAACTAGAGAAAGGAATATTATGGACAGAGGACCCGTATTTTAGATGGACACGCAGCTTTCACTTCACTAGATGTTAACTGATGGACTGAAGTTATGTGGATTTACTTGTGGATTATTGTGATTTTTTTTATCAGCTGTTTGGACCCTCATTCTGACGGCACCCATTCACTGCAGAGGATCCAACGGTGAGCAAGTGAAGTAACACGACATATATCCAAATCTATTCTGATGAAGAAACTCATCTACATCTTGGATGGCCTGAGTGTGAGTAAATTTTTAGCAAGTTTGCATTTTTGGGTGAACTATTCCATTAACATGTGACTTACTTCGAATGGAGCTTCTCCCATCTCAGGATTTCCTGCCAGGCTTGCTCATTATTCTGGTTGTGAATCCTAATGATGTTTCTCATATCTTTCTGGTTGATGTCACCATTGTTCCAGCGCCATCTGTTGAAAGTTTGAGTCATCACGAAGCAATAAAGTTGATGATACTATATGTTTCTGAATCATTATTGGACATATACAGAGCTCCGTTGCTCTGTCTTTTATATTCACCATTAGAACTCACCCCTTCCTCAGCATGGCATTCCAGAACATCTGCTCTGAGGGATAAACCCACTTCTGCTCAGATCCACCACGAGGGATGGTAGATTCCTCTCTTACAACAGAAAGGGGAAATGGTTGACCAGATGAAGGTTGCTGGTTAGGTGGTGGCATCTATAGAGAACAGTAAATAAATGAGGCTAAATGGTAGAAAGGGGAAACTCACTACATCTAGGCTTCTAGGTATTAGGTAACCAATTTCAAGAGGGCAAATTACCATGTTTGCTGGATTGATGTCAGACATTGTGGGTTTAGCCCCATTGGCAGCTCTCATAGGACACTCTACAAATTCATAAGCCCTGTCCTGATGTGCTGGTACATCTGGCACATTCTTTAGCTTATCGCTTGCAGATGCCTGATGCATTGGACATTCTGGTGGAGGGGCACCTGTTGAAAATATTAAGGACAAAAACTAAGGAGAACATCCACATATTTTTGATGTTTATGTATATGAGGGCTCCAACAAGTAATCGCTAAAAAGAACCTTCAACCCTGCTCCTGGAGGGCCACTGTCCTGCAGAATTTAGCTCCAACCCTAATCAAACACACCTGAAGCAGCTCATCAAGGTCTTCAGGATTACTAGAAACTCATAGCCAGGTGTATTAAAGAAGGTTGGAAATAAACTTTACAGGACAAGTGGGTAGAAGATCTCTGCATACAATTGATGATAATTAATCATGAAAATAATCGAGAATGAATTTGATTATCAATTAATTATGTATGCATGATGGGAACAGAAAACATCTGCCAATCATGTCACTTTACAGCAGCAAATAACATATTTCTATGAACAATGCACACTCATACGTTAAGATTTTTAAACTAGCTTTAACTTCTACTTTAAAAATGGTAAGTAGTCAGTTTTTTGTGCTTTAGAAGGTAGTGTTTATATTTAATCCTTTGTGCACACAATTTATAGCAAACCTACATAGATACATTCACTATATTAGTTTTTTTATTGCCTTCAAACTGCACATTGTTTGGTGGACAACATTGGTCAGGATATAGAATAACATTTTGTAAATAACAGATTAAAATTTTAATGTTGATTAAAATTATTATTAATTTGATTAATTTAATTGTTCATTTTTAATGTATTTTTTTATTTAATCTGGTTAATCAAATAAATAACATTATCAAAAATAATCTTTAGTTGCAGCCCTATTGCCTATGTAAAAAAAAAAAACTGTACTGAAGAACTAGTGTCATACTTTTATTAACATCTCTATGCATCGGACAGGCCTGTGGTGGTGTGCTGCCAAAGTCTGGCACCATGATGCCCTCTGCCTTCACTGTAGGACTGGACATAGTGTCTCCCATCAGCTTCCCAGACAAAAAGATTAAACAACAGTCAGTTTTGAGTAACCTTACATTTTACATTGTTGCTGTCATATATAAACATGCATGCAAGCATGTATAAAATCTTATAATGGACTTAAAATGCTTTAAGTCTATCAAATGAGCATGTTCTAGCATTAGTAAATGCAGGTTTTTGTGAGTCTGCATGACTTTAAGTGGCATCACTTGTTCTCATTTTTGTCTTGAAGTTGCAAACTGTACACCTGATTGACTGCTATGTTACTGTGAATATACACTGAAGATCTGACAGCCACATTCCTTTCTACCCCAGCACCATGGACTTCAAGATCAAACGTTATTGATATCTGAAGCATTCACTACAAAATTATGCTTTTGGGGAATTGTGCAACAAATGTTACACAAGACACTTATAGAACACACAAGCATAAGATAAAATAATGTTCCTGTATGTCCAAATAGCGTTTTTAACTGCTTAGATCGTTCATATTGCCCTGTGTTAAAATTACATGCGAACGATATTGCTGAAGAAAGATTAACTGCTATATAACAGTAGAGCACACTTACCACCCACCTCTACTGTCAATGTCGTTCACTAGAATCATGCCTCATATCCCATAATGCTCTGGGTGATTGCATCACGCCGTGTGTGTGTGGCACGCTCGGATAGCAACATATTGCCCTGTGTTAAAATTACATGCGAACGATATTGCTGAAGAAAGATTAACTGCTATATAACAGTAGAGCACACTTACCACCCACCTCTACTGTCAATGTCGTTCACTAGAAACATGCCTCATATCCTATAATGCTCTGGGTGATTGCATCACGCCGTGTGTGTGGCACGCTCGGATAGCACCATGCACACTGCCCCCTAGAGTATTGGAGAGTTTAGATTTGTATTTTAATTTATTTAAATATGACAGTTTCTCGTGTAATTTAGTTTAAGGTACAACATGAATCGATCATTTAATTAAATTATTATTCACTAAATATTTTGAATTTTCCGGTGACAAGTATAGTGACTCCGCACAAAAAAAAAAAGAAAAGAAAAAAAATATTTGTTCAGTGTACTTTAGTAATGTATCATTATTTATAATTTATTCAAACTCAAAAGTGACTGACTTTTCAAGTGTGATTGAATCATTATGCAGAAAAGCAGCCACACGTTTTGAAAGATAGAGTGAACGAGAATATTAGAGTCAATTCAGAGAACAGTGTTGCTAACTCAATTCACCTGATGTGTGTACTGCTAGCATCTGTGGTTTCCTCTTTTTGTGAAATTTGGATGGAAAACGTGTGCCTTTTTATTGTCTGAGTCACTTATCAAAAGTTGCTAAAACTTAAATAAATGTTAAAAATTGCTAAACATGTTGCTATTGGTGCTTTTGGAAGAAAACGTTGCTAAATTTAACAACACAATTGCTAAGTTGGCAACAGTGTCAGAGAAACAGACATGACCCACTTAAAAGATTTGTTCAAGAACACAGATTTGTTTGTTCACAAACGAAACAACACTAGTGAGTAAAATTGCTTGTGTGAAGTGAATTGTCCCTGTAAGTAAAAATTTAAATAAGAGAATTGGCTTTGTTCTTTTACAACCTCATGCACTATAACGTATTAAAACTAAGTTGTTTATTCAAATTAAAACATTATTGTCACACCACAGAAACACGCATCTCCGGTCACTTACATGAGCATTGACATCACAGAATTTGTAGAAATCCATTCCAGTTGGAATAGCTCATACACCTTTTTCAAGAAGCATATCATTGTTGATTTTAACCACATACATAACTATTAAGTAAATAATGATAAATAACCTGAAAAGCCTTACCTTATTGAAGCTTATATAGGCTAATAGTGTCATTATTCCAAATCCAACCAACCACATATTACAAGCAACAAGCTTATACACGGCTGCATCAAGTTATAGATTTTCAGAAACACATATTATATAACATTATTGTGTCACCTGATACATTTTCCATTCCAGACATATATAATACTCTCCATACATAGTGTTCTCCATATATGCAATAATTAGACATGCATGGTTTCTTGAGTATGACATCCTGCACTGCTGAGCTGCAAAGGCAGGATCTTTCACCCATACATTTAACATTTCCACTACATTTATAATGGCCATTTGCTCTATTTGCATAACCCTATCCATATTGTCAAAAAGTCAAAACGTTGGTCTACAGGCACACACTGTGTATCTTTGTGGAAGTTCAGATGTGCTGTTGCTTGTTTATTTGCATTCATAAAGACAAGTTGGTTGATCATAATAGCAGCTTTACAATAAATAGTGCAACCACAACTGTTGTCCTGATTGTACATGTGATCAGTCTCATGCCTCTTAATCACCTGATTTCTTAAAATGTAAAGGAGCGCCTGTGTTTGAATTCCTCCAGTTGAGCCCATATTTGAAGATGACATCATGCCAGTCATTATTAATGCAATAAATGGTTTCTCACAACTATGATGCCCCAGCATTACAGCAGCAGGAATAACAAAACATATACATGGCATTTGCACTCCAGCATCAGGTTGGACATGAAAGAGATGGAAGGTTTGTGTGCTGATGTGTTCATTTTCTGTCTGTATCTCCATGTCAGTCTGTCTTTCTAGTTTCCATCTCAGTTCCTGTTTTTCTCGACCAGGCCGAGCGAAGGACTTTGAGACATCCGCGGATGATTCTGCGCATCCACATGATGTTCATAACATCCAAAGACACGCTGGAAATAACCCAGGCACTGCAGCCCCCCAGAGGTAACCGGTAGAAGTCCTCCGTACCAAAGACCGAGTACATATGGCTGTAGTAGCCTGGAATGACTGCGATCCTCACCAAGAAGAATGTAAATGCCATGGCGACACCATTAACCAGACTTGGTTTGGAAAGTTTGTGGTAGCCCAACATGTGAAAAAAACAACTGAAAGACGTCAAAAATAATGCAATTAGAAAATGAGCTCATGTAACAGTTGCATTGAATGCTTCTAGATGGATTTTTAGGTAATACTTACCGCTGGTTCACGAAGGGGGTGGAGAATTCTGAAAGCAGGCGGAAATTAGCAAAGTAAGGCAATATCCCTTGACTCTGCAGAAGAAGAAAAAAAGAGCACAAAATAACCTTGGAGATCTTGAGGAAGTAATTGTACACCAGACCAGCTGAAAACAACTTACCAGCACATAGTAGTATGCATAGAGAGCAGCAAAATGATGTATGACAAAATATTTCTCTCCAATAGACTCCCATGAAGTAAACATGAGAAGGAGATCTGAAAAAGAAACATTTTCTTTGTGTATCCATCAAGCTAAAAGCGAATTCTCATTTCACCTTAAATACATAAATGTACACATCTTAATCAATATTTGCAATCAATAAACAAAAATTACTAATTAAAGAAGCAGTGAAACCATTTTCTGAAAATATTTCTATGAAATAATAAAATATCGCAGCTTTTTTTTCTTTATTATGGTATCAGGACAATTGTATTTACTTTATACCCCCAAAATTTATTTTATTTTATATCATTAAAGAGGTGTATTGAATAATTTAAGATTATATATATATGATAAAATCATGTACTGCAAATTATAAATGTTTATAATATTCACATTGAAATCTAATGAATTAGTTTTTTAGATTTTGTTGAAAAAATAAAAATAAATGATTACTCTGAAACATATATTAAAATATTAAATTAAATTTTAATTCAGAAATGACAAAAATGCCCATCATACAAGAAATGTATTCAAATCATGTATATGAACTTTTGCATCAATTAATAGATATAGCATCACATCATTAGCCCTCCACCCACCTGAGATTAGGTAGCCTGAGGTAACGGCCACATTTAGCTTCACCAGTGTGGCATCTCCCCTGTAAATACAAATTAGAGGTTAGATAAGAAAAAATAGTGTTTGTGAGTCCACCAAAAAACATCAAGTTCAGTCTGTACTTTCTAGAGAGAAACTACACTATGTTGCATAACAATTTGCGCCGCCACATTTGTAAAGGATTGCATCTTCAAATCCTCACCAGACTGGGTCTTTCTGGATAGGTTCATCAAAGATATATATGTAGAGACAGAAAAGTCCCACAACCAAGGCATGTACTGTTGAGACGGCCCTTTGAGAGAAAAAAAAACACAACAGTGAGAGTTTATAGATCTTCCAACTTTAGTTAAGAGTGCATAATAAAACACGTGCTTTTAGAAGATAAATCTGACACCTGGAGTTCCACTCTGTCCTTTGTGTAGGGCTGAGCCTCAGGAAGCCTTTGCAGAGCTTCTCAGACACCCAAGGGCTACCTCTGTGGAACAGCCACTGGAAGCCCAAGAAGCTCCCTGTTACAACCATCAGCACCTGCAGACTGAGAGGCTCCATGCCTGCTGAGCCCTAGAGAAAGAAAGAGACGAGAGCCAGACGGCGGCGAACGTTCAGCAATAACTCTCCCATTGACAAACACATAATGATCCCCCCCACTCCACAGCACTCTTTAACAAAATCAAATGTTTCTTACTCCAGACCAGTTGCGAGCATAAAAGCCCCAATCATCACCTGAGCTGCCGCAGTACCTCTCTACTGCCAAGTCCCCCAGTATACAGAAGCATTTGCATATGTGCTGACACAGCCGTCCAGAGGTCAGCCGACACAAACACGTCTCAGATTGCTCCATCCGTGATTTATAGGAGCCACGCGTGGCTTTTGTGCCAGTCCCAGAGATCTCGGTGTCCCGTAGGAAACAGCCGATTGTGTGGGTTTGTGCTGCATACACTAACTTCTATGCTGGCTGAGGGGAGCGTGTACATGTTACTCCGGCTATACATTTCTGCAGTATGGACACCGATCGAAATGAAACAGCAGGAAATCAATGCGTGTGATCAATGTGGCATTGTTATGGTCCATTGGGACACAACCACTCCCCTGCTTTGTCCTCTTACCCTTGAAAAAGGCATCAAACTTCAGTGCTTTTAGTAACTGATAGTAGGAGGAAGGAAGTCAAGCCGGCGTGACCTTGTCAGATTTGAATTCTACTGTTTCTCTGAAATGTACAGTTACATTAGAACATGCTTTTATCTGAAGTGACTCACAAAAGAGGAACAAAACCAATTTGTCAAGGAGCCAACAATGCTTGTAATATACATTGCCAGGTGTATTTGACAACTAGATTTGGAGGCAAACTAGAAAAGAGGAGAAATGCAATGTAAGTGTGTATGTACACTTTATATTGCACAGTAGGAGTAAAAGAGCCAAATAATCAGGTAACCAAGCAGTAGGACATGCTATCTTTATCATTTTCTTTGTCAGATTCATTGATTCAAGCAAATTCATTTTCTCTTGCAACAGCTCAATCTGTCCTGCTTCTCGGTGACTATGAAATGACTGCATGCATCCTTGAAAAAATAATGAAGTCAACATATAATGCATGATCAGACTTACCCTTTCCGTTACGAAAGACCCATGTTGAACTGGCCATGGAGAGTGTGCATGAACACAGCTGGACACGAGGATAAATGCAGGGTTTAAGAGATCTGTGAATCTCAGGTGTTCATCTAGGGGAGGATGGCGGAGAGATTGCGAATGCAAATCCAACAGCCTTCTCCCCTCTCCACTCTACACATTAACTCAGTAAGTGCCTTCCCTTGTATGCAGCTGCCCAGTGTAATTTTATATCTCTGAATCCTAAATGAACTTCATGGCACAGAGGAACCACTAGATGGAGTGAGACGTCCAACTGGCTAACTTTTTTTCTCTTCATGGTAGCAAAAGAGCTTGTGTTAGACCAGGAGAGGGTGGTTGATAATGTCCAAACAAGGACACTATTAGTAAATGAATGTCGCATTTTTAGCAAGGGCAGCCCTGTTGTCCTCAATTTCCGGAATCCTCAGCCTGACCTTCAGCTTAAACTAGATCTATTACCAAACAAAATAAACCCTAACCTTATTTAAAATAACTCCAACAGTAACACTGCAGGGTTTCTTGTATTTAGAGGCATAATGGAGCAAGTTTAGGGCAGAGCGGTTAGTCTTGTCCTGCAGCTTCAGGTAATAACATCCCATCCCCATCTAAAGCACAGTTGTTGTTGTTGTTGTTGTTGAGTCTGTCTGCATGTTGTGCCTCAGGGATGGAACAACGAGGCATTCCTGTTTGATGAACCGTTCGCCCCAGAAGAGTTCTGCTCATGGAAAATAAAATGGATGTTCTTGTACCTAAATGTGTATTGCAATAGAATATATTCTTCTCACTTTATCAGCTCTGGGTTATAACAGGACAATGGAAACTAATAGCAAACCCAGTGCTTGCTGCAGAGGCTAAGTGAAATTAACTCTCCAGACACTTTTACTGGAGACACAGGAACATGGGGAATTTCTGTTGCTGACAAAACATCCCTTTTCACGTCTCGCTGAGTGAAATATGAATGGTTTTCGTGTAACCTGTTGATTTACTGGAAGTCTGCAAACATATCCTGATAAGATACTATAATGAGTTTAAACATATTAATCCATTTATAACCATTGAGTATGTATGCCAAATGCTCTTCTGTTACTATGAAATCCCTTTTCAACCACATAAGAAAATCATAATTATAATTATGACATAAAAGGCTGAAATTATGAGATAAAAAGATTTATGAAAAAAACTAAATTTTGACAGAAAATGTGACAGTCAAATTTATGAGTCATAACTATGACAAAGTCGAAATTATGAGATAAGTCATACTTTAATGATATTTAAAAAAATAAATTATAAGCTTGAATTTCTAACAGTCATAATTATGAAGACTGAAATAAGTCATTATTGCATAAAAAGCTACTTTAGACTTTCTATCTAATAATTATGATTTACCAAAGCATGTTTGTTTTTTTATGTGGTGGAAATTGGCTTACATTACTGATATAAATGTGATACTAACCCATATGCAAATATTAATAGTATTACTCGGGGTTAACCACAGTACTGTTATGAAGTGGAAATAGGTCTTGTGCTTTTCCTGTCTTAAACCAAAAGTCTGGGAACAATCACTTACAATGGCAAACACACCTTGTTTTCCGACAGTTTCTTTGTTTGATCACTATAGTGATGGGCTAAACACGAGCCCACCATATCATTAGAATGCATGTTTTGACTTGTCTTTAATTAATTGCCAGTCTTGAAGCATGATGGTACTTTCCATTTTCATTATAAATCAGGGTGGCTGAAAACAGTTTTGTACGTCTGCACTGACACAACATCTTTCGTCTTCAGAAGTGAAAGACATTTCAGATGATGATAACAGACTAAGTAATTAAGGTATAACATGATGTGGCATTGAATGCTGAACCCAAAAATTACCAAGGAGGAATTCAAAAGAAATGTGCTTAATATCTTGGATGAATTCTTTCTGGCATTGGGTCTTTATTGTTGTTTCCTGTTAATGGACAGCAGTGTCTCGGGACACAGAGGCTCAGGAAACACATGGTGAGGAGGCTGAAAAAGTAATAAAATCAAGGCCTCGACCTCCAGATATTTATTCAGCATGTGTTAAATATCCTAAATATGCAAATGTTGATAATAAATTCATGATGAATGATATTTTATTGTTTTGACCACTAGTACTAATAAAAGTACCATCATGAACACGGCTTTAAACTAACATTGTTTAGCCAAATGATCAGCCTCCTCATTTCCTTTCACACCTATATGCGATGGTACCCACACGAAATTTACCAGAAGTCCATACGGTCTTATTCTAAAAAGACTCTGCATTACTTCATTTATCATGTCTTGTCTTGCTAATGAATTTCCACTTGACAAACTGTTTAGTGCTGAAAGAGAATCTGTGCATATCACTGCCTTTGTTGGTTGTATTTCTTCTACCCACTGAAGTGCTAGTAAGATTGCTATTAGTTCTGCAGTAAATACAGAAATATGATCTGAAGTTCTTTTTGACATTTTAATTTTGAATATGGGAATATATACTGCTACAGCTGTTTTCCCAGAGTCTGGATCCTTTGAACCATCAGTGTATATTTGAACAACACTATAATATGTAAGATCTATATATTTCTGTACAGCTGAACTTTCTAATACACTTGTTTCATTGTTATGTTTTTCTTTATGCAACTGGATATCTATCAAAGGCATTGGGAAAAGCCAAGGAGGAATTGCTGACCTAGCCACAGTAGGAGCAATATGTATATTACTTAAACCCATTTTCTGTGCTTCCTCATTGGCCTTCCATCCAAAGCTTGATAACTTTTTGTACTCATATTCCCAACAGTCCTTCAACACCATTTTGACTGGATGAACGTCCGAATGTCCTTTTATACTTATCCAGTACCTCATCCTTAACTTGAGCCTACGAATTTCTTGAGGCATCTCGCCCATCTCTACCTGAACTACTGATAATGGGGACGATCTAAAAGCTCCGCAACAAATTCACAATGCTTGTGATTGTATTGCCTCTAATTTTAAAAGTTGTGTTTTAGATGCAGAGCTATATACCATACTGCCATAATCAAGAGCCGATCTTATCAGAGCACAATATATTCTTTTAAGGGACTGTCTGCAAGCTCCCCAATCAACTCCTGCTAGACATCTTTTGGACATTAAAGCATGTCAACATATTCTGTTACACCAAATACACAAAATAATGATCTTTAAAAAAGCATCATATGACCCCTTTAAGTGTTTCTCTATTTGTTTTATTTAAATTATTATTTCCGTTACATATCATTAATTTGTATTTTATAATTCTGTTTTAATATATTTTGAAGGAATTTATAATTACAAGAATTCGTACTACGGTGAGGGATAGGTTATGAATATTAACGGAGTCAGCTGACGTTGCTTTCAGAGCTGTAGAGAGAGAGAGAGTTGTGACAACTCCGTTTACTCCAATGGACCAGTTTTTTTTACAGCAATGGCGGATCGTGGAGCCGCTCAATAGTTCCCGGAAGTTAGCGCTCATACTATCAGCGCCGTAGAGATGCAGCAGAAGACACTGCTGTGATGAACTTTTGAAAGGTATGACATTTATAGAACAAAATAGTATATTATCAGCACAGCTAATCAAATTACCCTGTGCATTAAAACAGATGATTATTAGATTATTCCTCACTTAATTAGTAGATTTACGGGATGTTATTCATTCTCTTCATGCAGTTTCATCCATCGTTGTGTAATTTAAAAGTGATTTTGCTGGTGGGGAGCTATTAAATAGACTTAGATATATTGCAAAGGATGCAGATGGACCAAAGTGAGAATGAAAAGTTTAATGTAGGTGAGCAGTTTTCATTTCAGAATCATACTAGGCTAAATGTCCAAAAATGGATTATATACCACTACTATATTATAGAAGTAATTACAGTAAACCTGTACATTATTACTGTATTTTATACTTAAACGTCTTAGCTACTAAAGAAGCACTGTGTTGAAGGAGCAGATGCCACAGGACTGCAATGTGATGGAGCATCACTTAACCATTTCTCCTGTGTTTTTCTCCTTCGCTATCTTGCTTTCAGAACAAGAACCACCTGAAGACTGTAAAGAGACATCACCCTCACAATGAGTCTCTTCACTGTATTTCAATTGCCCGCTATGAACTTCCTGGAACTATTTGAGGTCTACGTGAATCACGTGACGATCGAGCGTTTTGGACTTCCGTTGACGCAACTCTCTCTTTCCATGGCTCTGGTTGCTTTGTTGCTAACATCTGCCTTTTAGCCAATCAGTAAGGTACACTATGTTGCGTCACGCAACCTAATTAATATTCATAACTCAAGTCTTCGCCGTAGTAGAATTCGTAAATTCGCTCAACCTCAGCTCAGACCTTCTGCTGCTCTTTAATTACTTTGCTGAACAGAAAGAGTTCAGTGCATCCGGTCAGCTGGGGCAATCGGCTGTCATATTTGACTAGCCTAAACTCACATATCTGTGCAAAGCATCTTTTCTCGAACAAGAGAAGCCAAATTAGAAACCGGGGTATTTCTGAATATTTCTTTGGTGCGAATCGACGTGAAATAAAAGACAATGACTCAGTTCAACAAGGGCCCTGCATATGGTTTATCTGCTGAAGTGAGAAGTAAGGTAAGGTTTGAATGGTTTTAAAGTTTGTGTACTTTAACGCCGGTTAAACGACGAAGTGGCGTTTAATGTTTCTTGTATTGCACCGAAATGCTTGAATTCAATTGCATGAAAGTGTAACTGTTAACTGTTTCACTTTAGAATGAACTGCCTAGCATTTCAGACATCACAGGCAGGTTCATAAACAAAAACGCCGCATATAATTTAGTACTAAACGTACTTCTGATGGCCAAATGCACTCTGTAGGTTTTCAGAGAAAGCCATTGTTTCCTTTTCAACTGATTCCTGTGATTTGATACTTCTGAGATTTTGGTTTTAGGGTCGATGCATCCTTTTTGTTTTACTACTCATTTATTGCTTATAAAAGACGAAGGCTCATACTTTTGCACGTAGAAAGTAGGAAATAATAATCCGTGTTTCATGTTGCACTAACCGATTTATCAATGAATGAAACTTTCTTTTCTTTTTTTATGCGCGCGACGCGTTTCGCTTTTCACGCCATGTTGAGATGCTGTTTGTCATTTTAAAGGCACAAAACCTTACATTTTATCACTGCAAATGAAGTTTACCGTGTGTTATTCTGGCTGATAAAGCTTGCCTGTTGTGTTGGTGGGTCATGGGGTCTTTTGTTGAGTTCTGGGTGGAGCTCCAGTTTGAGAGAAAGCAGCGCTGCTGCTCTCGGTAGTCGGTACAGAGAAACGCAAAAAAACAGCAGTAATACCAATTAAACAATGACATTATCAGCCTAAATAAGCGACAGTGTGTGTGTGTGTAATAAAGGTTTAGTGAGGTTAGCGATGTAATTTGTTCTGCTTTGTGTGGAGATGTGTTATGGAAACTTTAGTCGAGGTGATGCGCGTGCAGCATCTGTGATTTTAAAACGTACTTTCGTTTTTAAAGGACTATATTTAAACTAGTATGGGTGTATAACTGAATTTTACCTACTTTTTTTTTAGTTAAAACCTCTGTAGTACCTATTTGAAAAAAAAAAATGGTTCGTTGTCAAATGGACTTTTAATGTTGTAGCCTACACAAACACTCACACACAAACGGGGGTTTTCTCAGGAAAAGGGTTAAATCGTCACACTAAATCACACTGAGGCTTTTCTTTTGAATGCATTGCGCCCCATCTGCAGTGACTGATGTTTTCTTTTATTATTATTTTTTATTATTATTATTATTTCTTCATGTTTAGATTCCATTCTGTGCATTATTGTCACAAACGTAGCAGAACTTATTACATCAAAAGTCTGTAAAACTGTGTAGGCCCCAAACATAGCCTATAGTTCTAGAAAGTATAGTATTTTATTTAATGCCATATGTTTTTCCCCCATGCAAAGTGACCTATAGGCTACTAATGACAGTCCATCTGGTGCATCGGAGATGAACGGGCTTGCTCAAGGACATCAATTCTACATTCACACAGCTAGGCTTGAACCTGCGGCCTTTTTATTAGCCAAGATCTTTAACCATTAGGCTACAAGCTTCCTTATTGTTTTAATTGGTTATCACATCGAAAAGCACACAGAAAACGAACCCCTCTAGTGTCTGCGGTTGGTCATTTTAAGTCTATTCAGCAGTATTTCCATCACACCATGTATCTCATTATGAATGTGTGTTTAGTCAGAATGAGTGGGAGGGTGAATAAACAATGTAAACTGCAGTGGGGTGATGCTTCCTTGAATCCTGTGCCATCTGCAGAGGTGTGAGGACATTTGACCCCAGCTGACTTTCATTAGCACTTCAGTTGCACCATGCAAATATCTGAAGAGAGCTTACTGTAGGACACTTCATTACTGACATATTTTCTGTGTAGTTTACTTAAACTCATATTTAATACTTGACAGTTACTTGATTTGTATGATTTGGCAGGAATGTCTCTGATTTTGTACCACTTTTCATTAAATGTTTCATTGTCAACTTTTGAAATCACAATTTACTGATTTGCAGTCATGTTTTAATTTAAATACGTAGAATATATTGTACAGTACATAAAATGTATAAAGTATCTTAGAGTGACACATTGTTTTGAGATGGAATTATTTTATAATGTGAGGAAAAAGAGAGACCGTGGAGTGATACAAGAGACATGAAATTACCACAAATGCATGCGGTTCAAAAATTTGGGGTCTCTTAAGATTTTTTTATTATTATTATTTATTACTTTGTTTTTGAAAAAAAGTATCTTCCATCAATCCAGCATTTATTTGATCAAAAATACAGCAAAACAACAATATTGTGAAATACTATTGCAGTGTAAAATAGCGTTTTTATGTTTTAAAATATTTAAAATTACATTTATTTCTGGGATGCAAAGCTGAATTTTCAGCATCATTACTCCAGTCTTTAGTGTCACATATAGGCTAATCCTTTATAAATCATTCTAATATGCTGATTTGCTGCTCAAGAAACATTTCTTATTCTTATCAATGTTGAAAACAGTTGTGCTGCTTAATATTTTTGTGGAAACCAAGATTCATATTTTTCAGGATTCTTTGAATAGTCATTAATTTGAAATAGAAATCTTACATCGAACATTATCTTTCCTGTAACTTTTGATCAATTTAATGCATCCTTGCTGATTAAAGCCAATACTTTACCAAAATGGTTTGAACTGTAGTGTAAATTCACATATAAATGCAGAGTAGACTGTTCTCCTTGCTTTCCATTGTTTCAATGTGTAGTGGACTAGTGGGCAAGTTATGCAAACATATCTTGTAGTCTGTATATACATCTGAGACCTCGCTGCCACATTATTTGGTCTGCTGGACATTTCCAGAGCAACAGGGTGATTAATTGATCAGCAGAAACAGCTGTGCTGTTCACCAAGGCCTCTCACAGCATTAGCTCTTTCCTCCAGCAAATGTGTAACTGGATTGTTGACAGGACTAGAGCCCGACTGATATGGGTTTTTCGGGGCCGATATCGATATATCGGCCGATATTCTTTGTGTATATTATAGTACAGTACCAGTCAAAAGTTTGGACACTTTCCCATTCGTGGGTCCAAACATGTGACTGGTACTATATATAGAATACAGTATATACATAAACACATTTTTTTGAAATGATCACTCAAATGTGGTGATCAAACACTTATAATGACGTGACAAAGATACGTAATGGAGGCAGGGCATTTAACAGTTTAACAAACTTTATTATCCAAAATGAGTCTGACATGAGTCTGATGATCAGCGAAGAGTTTCTTGACACGTCCAGTTGAATCAGACAATAGAAGAGAGCATTATTACAGCCGTCTGTTATTATATTGGTCTGACTCTGGAGCATAGAAAACAATTAAAATCCACACGATGCGCATATTCGCTTCGCGTCTGGTGTGAACACACCATAACTCCCTAACCCCGGTGGCTATCGACGCGGGGGTGGTCTCATTCGAAAGCGGGCCTCTAGACGTACACTCGATTCGCGTTCAAGAGGGTTCCTCGAGCTGAAGGGATCCCCCGAATTTGGTGCGGATTCGCCGCGCCGTTACGGAGATATGGCCGTTCAAAGTTTCAATGGTTTTCCATAGACTTAAGCTTTAAAGCGTTTCATCCAGGTCGCCAGTAGCAAACAACGGAGCGCACTCTGCTGGACAAACTAAGTAATTACACCATTTCAAGCATTTTATCTGCGTTATATGTTCTGTAAAAAAAATACAGGCGGCATATTCGCCCGATACCGATATATCGGCAAAACGATATATCGGTCGGGCTCTAGACAGGACCCTTTCCCTCTGTATAGCTCTGGCTGAATTCCTTATGTACTTCCTGCAAGTGTTTCTTTTTTTTATTATTATGTACTGTTTTTTCCCCCCCCCGCATGATTTTGTCCATGAGGCCAGCAGAACTCCCAACATGTTGTTCTCACATGGCCAAATACAGATGTTCTCCCTGTTTTCTCGGTCTTTAGGAAGTTCACTCTCTGCTCTGGGCCGATGTGCTCTATCTGAATGTCAGAGAATGTACCAATGCACTCCTACATGTTTTTTCCTTCCTTTTCCTTAAATGCTCTAGTACACATTCAGGAACACAAGCTCTATTGTGCAGAAAATTGCAAGTGGACAGTTGGATGTGAAGACGCCACCGATATCCTAGTTGCAGAGCACCCAGAGATGATAAAGGACTCTGAGAGGGATTCATGGGAGATCTTGTTGCGCTCATCAACCTAAGCTGCTGCATGTGGTTTTTGAACCTTCTTTTGGGCCTCCACACTTTTTGTTGGCCTTTTATATTATTGGGACTTTTTCAAGTTAGAAAAAATATATTGTTTTATTCCAGCAAATACTCTCTGGTGAATACTGTATACTGTTGCTTTAAAGTAATTTCTCTCTTCCACTGTAATGGTTCTGGTGCTTTTTTGAGTATTATGAGAAGTTGAGAAGATACTTAAACTCGGGGTGCACCTGAATTAAACATGGCCAATGCCAATAAATATTTTTATATCCATTATAACAGTTCCACAACAATTAAATGAAAAATAAAAATACTATAATCTATCTGGTTTTAAATGCACCAAGTAAATTTAGGCATCACAACATTATAATGTACAGTATGAAAGATGAATGTTAATTTTGAGGTTTTCTGTAGATTACATTTAAGTAAGTTAGAGTTAGATGATACAAAAGTAATATAAATGTGAAATTAGGGAAATTGAGCTTAAATAATTATCCAATATTGACTAATATAGTGAACTTAAACATTAGTTACGTCGAGGGATGTAACGATTAACCGAGAGCCGGTTGAAAATCGATTCAAATATGTGACGATTCAAATCGGTTGAGATGCTAAACAAATCGCGATTCATTTAGAGGTAGGAGTTTATAAGAATCCATGTCTGCGGGGAACTTACTGTTTTTAGAAAAGTCTAGAAGGTATTATTTTCTTTTCCTCTTGCCTCTGTATAACGCATATTAAAGTTCATAAGT